TCCCAGCACCCCCGCCACGATTTGCGGGCCGGCAGTGATTTCTTTGAGGACTTGTAGGGCTGCATGCAAAGAGGCTAAAATGATGTTTCAAAAAGGCCAAAAATATTATTCAAAAAGATCTTTAGGATCATTATTTGAAAATAATCTTATTTCTCTCTTTTTAATTTGAAAAACTTCTGAATGCGAACAATTTGACGCCAATGGAGCTCAGTCTCAACCAAAGTCCCAAACCCTAAACCCTAAACCCTAAACTGCTCCAGTGTCTTACGCTAAACCCTAGCTGCTGCAGATCCAGCAACCCTAGCCAGCGCATGCGCGTGCATGCAAGGGCCTCTTCTGGGGCTTTCTGCGTAGACTCAAAACAGCCAAGGCCGCATCACAGCTAGCTAGCTGAGCCACTACAGCTAGCCGTGGCTAGCTGTGATGGCTAGCTACCTAGCTAGCTGCTCAGCTAGCTAGCTGGCTAGTTTTTAGCTGTTCAGCTAGCTGCCCAGCTAGCTAGCTAGCTAGGTTGATGTCCATCTGTGGTTGTGGTGAGTATAAGGAGTAGCAGACAAGTAGGGTAGCCGCCAGCTAGCTAGCTAGCTAGCCAATCTAGTTGGCGCCTGAGCCAGCTAGCTAGCTAGCTAGCTAGCTAGCTGACAAGTGACGCTGGAGCTGCTGGCTTCCATGATCCGACGGGCCCGATTATCAGACGCAAAAACGATTTGCTTTTCAAATTAAAGGTTCTCCCCGTTGCTGCTGCTGTTTCAGTTGCTGCTGCAAAAGCAGCAGCAGCAGCAGCAGCAGCAGCAAGGCACCTGCACGGTGAAGCAGCGCGAATGGAGCAGCAGCTAAAACAGAGCTGCTGCAGGTGAAGCGCGCACGGTGTATGTACACCTTAAAAAAACTAGCCATTTTACTGACCCTAAAGACTTGCAATTAAAAGTTAATAGGAAGGCCCAAATCAATTTCCTGCTGCTGCCGCTGCTGCTGCTGCTGCTGTTCTACTAAGCTTTCTGCTGCTCCTCTGCTGCCGTGTGCCTCTTGGGAGGCCCTTTAGGCTTGACAATGTCGCGGCCGTCGTTGCAGCCTGAGACCTTCCGCAGGGAAACTGCAGCAGCAGCAGCAGCAGCAGCAGCAGAAGTGAACAGCAGGCTTCCACCAGCATTTGGTAGGAGCACGAAGCAAAAGTAGCAGCAGCAGCAGCAGCAGCAGCAGACCAGCAGCTGCTACGAGGCACCAAGCCTGCTCAACGACGCACACTGCACCAACAGCAGCAGCAGCAGCAGCAGCAACAGCAGCAGGTGACTGACTGATATCAGCAACAGCAGCATCGTAGGGGTAGACGGGGGCAGTGAGGAACTCGGCGCCGCTGGGGTGTCTAGACAGCTGGATGTTGAGGTGGTTGAGTCGGCAGTCCGCTTTGCTGACAATTCCACTTTTATATTTTCCTTCTTTTTTTCCTTTTAGTCGATTTAAAGTTTCCGCCAACTCCAGAAAAGGGGCTTCAAAGCAAGCCTCGCGCAGGCGCTCCCACGGGCACAAACTCCTGCAGTAGCAGCAGCAGCAGCAGGGAGTGAAGTGCAGCAGCAGCAGCACAAGCAGCGGGAAGCTCGTGTGAAGCGCTGCAGCAGCAGCGGATGCAGCAGCAGCAGCAGCAATTTGAGCCGCAACGGCCAATGCGCGTGCAGGAGCAGCAGCGCCAGCGCCGAATGGAACACAAAAAGCAGCAGCAGCAGCAGCAGCAAATGCAGCCCCAGAAGCAACAGAAGCGCAAGCAGCAGCAGCGGCAAATGCAGCCCCAGCAGCAGCAAATGCAGCCGTAGCAACGACAGAAGCACGAGCAGCAGCAGCAACAGAAGCATAAGCAGCAGCAGCTGCAGGTAGCTGACTGGGTCCAGGGGTCTGCTTCTGCGAGGAAGTGCTTCCAGGTTTGTTTGTAGAGAGCCTCCTTTTTGCTGCTCCACTTTTCAGGACTTTTGGGTTTTTTTTTGAAGACAAATTTGTCTCTTTTGTGTCTCCTGAGAGTTTCCTTGAGGGCCTTGAGCCGCACAGCACTTAGCTGCTGCCGCCGCAGCAGCAAAACTTCGTGAGACACTGCAACGCCCTGCGGCTCAATGACAAATTCTGCTGCTGCGCTGCTGCTGTAAACTGCTGCTCCTTCGGCTTTGGTGCAGACCCGGGCCACGTCCACCGGCAGTGCAGCAGCAGCAGACAGCCACAGGTCCTCCCCATCCTCCGCGCACTCCTGCT